CGCCGACACTGTATTGCCTTATATGTATTAGCTTGGCATCCATATTTTCAGTTCCAGGCTGAGTCATTTCTACCTTCTCCTCTCTGTCAACGCTCTCTGGTTTCATTTAAAAGAGTCGATCATCAGATATTGTCCAAGATTAACCTTCAGGGTGGATATAGCTCGCTAGCAGCCTCGCACCAATGACCTAGTTGATGTCTTCATTTACCCAGAATGCTTTGCGTATAAATGAAATGGCCCCGTCCATGTAATATATTTTAAAACTTTTAGTTTAAAAATCATAAAAACTGAACAGCCTACAGTATTTTTACAGTCTTTATTTTACAGTTAAAGTTTATGTTTATCATATAAAGTCTAATGCTACAACTAATCGGGGATACCTTTAAAGACTTTCCTCGCTAAAAGCATGCAGCAGCTTTGATACGACCATGGTGAGAGTCAGATTATTTTTAAACTTAAAACCCTAAAAACACGTAGTTAAGATGTAAAGTCATTCTGCTGCTGTCAGTGAGAACAACATAAGAGCGGCTGAGGTTTCTTCCCTACGCCTCTCCCTGGCTAAACATGTAAATGCTGACAAACAGCTGTTTCTCTGTTAATTATATTCAGTCAWAACACCAGAGGTTACCCCACCCCACTGATACTGTAGTACGAACATGATCAAAACCACCCAACTCTAGCTGAAAAACCTTCAACAAGTCTTTCTTAAATATGTCTAATTTAATTCCTCACTGGTGGACTCAGGTCAAAATGGTRCAAAATGCTGTTTTCACTGTCCTTTAAGGATGCTGAAGGTAAAATCTCTAAACGTTCGTGGTATCAGGCTGCAACAAAATTACAAAAAGTGAGTGAGGTCTGATTGCTTTCTGAAGCCTCCGTATGTCAACATGTTGAAGTTGATGAAAGGATCCTCTCCTGCAGGCGGTGCACAAACAGATGAGAGTAGATTCAGAAGTGCTAGGCTTTAGAGAAGTGCCTGAGTGAGTGCATGTGCTTGTGTGGGTGTGAACTCGACCACTCCATCACCTCATATTTGTAGGATTTAAAAGAAATCAGGGCAGTGAAGGCTGTGAGATTAAAATCTGCAGTAAATAAAGTCTGAAGCTGGAGGAAGCTGACTGAGTGGGGAGGCAAAACCAAACAGTCTCATCATATTCATCTGTCACCTCTCCTCAAGCTTGTGTTAAACTGAATGAAGAAACTACCACGTGATGAGGTTGGTGGTATAATTCCTGTTGTCTGTCTTTCCGCTCCTCCTTCCTCCATCCAGTCTGGCGGTCGTCGTTTCTCTGCCAACCCCCGCCGTCAGCAGCAGCAGAACAATGCTACCTCCATGATGCAGTCACAGCATGGAGGACACGCCCAGCAAGAAGCCCTGTCCTCCCACTGCGTCCCTGCGATGTCTCAGGGCGGGCAGGGGGCCAGCCAGTCCGTGTCGGACCCCCACCAGGTAGGGACAAAACACACACACACCACTGGCGTTTGAGGCTCCGTCCAGGCTTTGATGTTTTTGTGCATCCCGGCAGGTCCGCCCGAGCTCGGTGTCCTCTCAGAGCAGCCAGCAGAGCATGAGGAGCTCGTCCTCCAACAAACACGTCCCCTCCTCCAGCGCCGCCCCGTCCTCCTCCTACTCCCTGCTTCAGCCCCTGGTGCCTGAGGTAAAGGAGATGAACTCGGGATACACTAGACTGAGCGCCAACCCCATGGTAGGAGAGAGCACCGCCACTCGCGACTCTGTGGCTCTGTCTGCCTACTAACACCAGGCCCAAGAGATTAACCCTCTGTGTTCAGCACAAGCCTCTCCATGCAGCCCAGGCTCTGTTCTTTACTCACCAGAACCTGAGATCAAACAAAAAAACATATGAAGAGGCACCTGGTGAACACAACCATCTTACCTTTCTGTCTTTGGGCTTTTAGTCTGAAAAGTTGACACTGATTAGACAGTTTTTCTAAACTTCACTCACAGCTGAACAATGTCTGATTGTTCATCTTACCAACCTGCTTTTAGCTTCGTAGTTTTCACCACTTTGACCCAACTTAACTGAATAAAATTCATCTGATGATAGGGGGATTTTTTTCTTTTCTCTCTTGACCTTTGACCTGCATAGATCCTGTCTGACAGTAGAAAACTCTCTAACATCACTAACTATGCCATTTATATTATAAACACTAACGTTTCCTGTTCTTTTGTAAATGTCATGTAAACAGACTAAATGTCGCCTACACTTAGTTGTTTGTTCACTTGAAAAATTCTGTTTACTTTGTTTACTGGAGACTAGGGCTGCCACAAACGATTATTTTTATAATCGATTAATCACCCATTATTTTTTCGATTAGTCGACTCATCGGATCATATTGTAAGAAAACTTGTGTTCAATAAACTGAAATCGAGATGATAAACACAGATGTTAAATAAAGTGATTTGTAGAAGGAATGAAGACCATACAACACCAGAATCTGGAATCTGAGTGGAGGTTTATTGCTGCTGTCTGCAGACAGGAAACCCACACTGCCCATAMAACCGGAAGTTTAWGTTTTTATACAGCTTCTTCAATGCCTTCGCTCGCCCCCTGCTGGCCTACGGCTGAGTCACAGGCATTCAGACAACATYCTCACCTAAATGTATTCAAACRGTTATTTATGTGTTGAAAAATATTTCGGACATGTAGCTAGACCCATTTCAATCAAGACATAACAATAGATTAAACACTGTCAATTTCAAAAGGAGAACTAAGAATATAGTGTTGTGCTTCTAAAATCAGTACTAACCTACATAACACTAAATTTCTTCACAATATGTTAACTGAATATAAAACATACAGATTATCGTGCCAGAATTTGATATCATTGACCACAGTATCCTTCTGGAGAAATTAAACAAATACACTGCAAAAAAATGTCCACCTAACCAAGTTTTAAAATCTTATATCCAGCCAAAAAGTCTATTTGATCTTGTTTTGAGGCTGATTTACTAAACAGATTTACTAAACAAGAACTTGATTGTGTAAGAATAATAATCTTATTTTCAGAATATGTAAGATTATTTGTCTTGTTAGTCTGAAAATTTGACAGAATGCAGCTGCGTATAACCATCATTAGATTTTAGCTATATGCTAACTAAAAATAATTGTTGTGGAAGACAAGTTCTGCTCTGCAGATATTGCACAGGTTTCTCTTTCATTTTCTTAAAATGATCCCACACTTTTGAGCTCCGTTGCTGGGTAGCCATGATACCAGAGCCTGTCTGTATAATGTCTTGTGACGTCCACACCCTACCCCAGTTACCACTACTGTGCATGTGTGTCAAGGACAGAAAGGCAGATGTGGCAGTGGAAGGTGTCAAAGCAGTTTGGAGAGAAAAACCACGTAAGAAACAAACGACTAATCGACTATTAAATTAGTCGTTGTCTATTTTAAWAGTCAATTAGTCGTCGACTAATCGTGGCAGCCCTACTTGAGACAAGAATAAAAGAAAAGACTTTCAGCTCCTTAATGACCGACATCATCATGTATAAAAATACTAATAAATGTAGTTTTATGTCACCAGCATAACRTGGGGGAGGGGATCAGAACTGAGGGTCCATCAAAATTTAAGTGTCTGCTGCAAAGAGTTAAAATCTTTGTCTCAAAGTTTTAATTTTTTTAAGTACGTTAAAGATTAAATCAGAGGTGAGGAGGCAGGAACAAAAAATAATGTGCAGGACCAAGAGTACGGTTTGCAATAGGCAGTGATTTTTCACAAGCTCACTTTGGTGACTGCAACTCAAAAGTTATTTTTGTTTTTGGGCTAATTATAGATTCAGATTTTCTTTATTGTCACTCAAACATACCATCAGGGTACACGACATAARCAGCTTGAYAAACRATAAAGTAATATAAAGTTCGTGWTAGGCATATACACAAAAAAAACATAAAAAATATAGTAAYAAAATAAAGAAGAGTGAGGTAGAATCCAGATCGAGTTTAAAGTAGTTTAAAAATGTGTAGTACATTTTCATTTGTGCAGTATATGACAGTATGTGTGCAAAAACAGTGACCAGGTAGATGAGATCCAGTTCAGGGAGTGTTTGATCAGCAGCTGAGCAATGAAAAGAATAGTCACCGGTTTTTCCTCCAACTGTTCCAACACATTGAGATTCTACCATCRGTAACAGTTCTGTYCATYATGGCTCTGAGCCAGTTTTCTTGGCAGTACTGTAGAAACGCTGCACTCATATTGCATCATGGGTAGGTTGAGTGRCACGTTTCATAGGGGTGTTTTTAACAACTAAGGTCCAAGGGGACATATGAAACCCAGGGGTAGGGGTAACCCTAGGAAATGGGACTGATTTCAGTGGAGAAACACTGAAGGCAGCACAGAGACAACATCTCTCTAGTCTTTTACTTGTTTTTCTCATTTTCTCCTCTCCTCTCCCTCTCCCGYCTCCCTCTCTTGCAGAAGCACCAGGACACCTTCTCTCTGGCCCCCCAGCGGCCCCTCACCACCATCAACCCCATCAGCCACTCCCTCCATCCGAACGGAGCGCCCTCGCTGAAGCCTTCCCCTCTGCCGCGGACCATCCAGGCCATGCCCTGGGAGCAGCGCTCCCTTTACAATCAATGAGACTGTAGGGACCCACATCCCCCCTCCCACTCTCCCGTCCTCCTCCTCCTCCAGGCCCATCTCCCGCCCAGCATCAAGGAGTCAGGACTCTTGGACGCCTCCTGCTTCCTCACCTCTCCTTTGGACCCTTGTGTGTGGGAATGGGAAGGGGCTCCGTTGAGAACTAGCTGAGATTTATTTCTAAGTAGTTAGGTTTGAATAATGTGTTGCCTTGACCCTCATGTACTGGTTATAAGTTAAAATGTCTGTGCCCCAAACTGTCCTCTTGTTAAGAATTTATCTGCCCCAGACCCCCCCCCTTCCCCATAGTTATGAACATATCTATCCTTGCCATTATAAATAGTGTCCCCACACCYTTTTCCTCATGTTGAATACAACAAAAAGCTATTTTTTATCAAGAGCGAGTTCCAAATTCAGAACTGGCGCCAAGTTGTTGGAGTACATGTTACAAAATTGTTCCTTTGGTCCAATATGTTATGTTTTTTTTTCCTTTGGTTAAATTAAGCTTCTGCAAAAGAAAGAACAAGAAGCACTTTTTTTTAAACCCTTTGATATTCTCTAGATTATGCATAGTGTATTCTGTGCGTTAGGAGGTATTCTTCTATCCTCACACCTCCGAACACGAAGGACCACGACGCAGACGACCTCGTCTTTTCCTGCTCTCCACATTGTGTCGCGGTGCAGACTGAAGCCCGACCACATTTCTCACCTGCAGAAGAGGAGATTGAATCCTGACACAACTGGCAGCTCACATCCTGGATTTTCATCTCAGCGGAGGATTGTGGTTCATGTAGTATTAAGAACTTTGTGGCTGGTTGCTGCGTTCAGAAGATTACTGTAAACACCTTTAGCTCTGACAGTGGCTAACAAAAGTATTCACCCTCCATCCTTTGCCTTTTTTCTGTTTGTTTTCTTACAACCCTGCACTTAAAAGGAATTTTGTGGTGTTTGTATTGTTTATTTTACACAACTTAACTAGTTGTACTGATGCCGCATTTTTTCAAAATGAGTACAAGTACGTACATTTGACTAATGGCCGATGCAGAGTGCTGATAAGAGTACTAATAAATATCTAAATAATCTTACATTCAGTAATAATCTGTTGGAAAATCAGTGGAGCGTACTTTTTGTTAAACTGATCTTGTCAGGAAGCTCGTTCTCAGATCCTTATATTTCCTTTTCTGCCCGATCACAGGCTAGCTGTTCCCAGCTGCTATTATCAAACTCTTAAGATGTTTACATTTTTTAAACCTTTGCAGTTCGCTTTATTTTGTTAGCAACACACAGAGTGTGCATCAGGAGCATCATAATAAATATAAAATACCTCCACATGGCCCACGCACCTTTTGCACTTCCTGGACGTTTGGTCCACTCTTCATGACCAAACAGGAGGGGTGCCTCTGGGTGCTGCTCGTGTCCAACAATCTTTAAATCAGACCAGAGACAGTGCTGGGCTTTGATTGGACCAGTCGTGTGGACTTTTGTCCCAGTCTCAAGCTCTTTGGAAGAGCCAACTTTTTTGCATGAAGAGTTTTTTTTCTGTAATTTTCTCCCAGTTGATAAAAAAAGCCATCCCCTCAGCATGACGCTGCCACTGTCATGCTTCGCTGTAGGGTTGTTGGTATCAACATGAAGACGGGTGGGGGGGTTGCCTCACCAGGGACTAAAATAAATGTTCCAAGCGTTCTTTATTCATCTCATCTGTTCTCCTGCACAACTTTTGAGCTCCTTGGTCTTCATGATGACTTTTGCTTGGTACTGCAGCTGTGGTTCTCTGGGATTGGTTCTGTTTATTATTTGACACCACAACACATCTACGTTGTGAGATTTTCCTCTTATAACTTTATTAATCTGGAGAATTTTGTGTTGGTTTATTTAAAAAAATTTGTTTAAATTCCAGGTTGTAAAAAAAAGGCAGAGAGAAGAGGGGGTGAATACTTTTATGATAGACTACGTTCCAAACTGACTGTTACTTTCTTTTTTTAAGCAATCAGAAGAAAAACCCATCATGACTCGCATGGATATCAGAGACCTGAACCAAGTCCAGCAACATGGTCCCTTCTGAAGTGACCAAAACCCAAGTCTTCAGTTTCAGACCACATGTTCTCCGACACTCCCTGCAGTGTCTCTGTATAAAAAGTTTTAAAAAATGTTTGTTTTAACAATCCCACCTGCGTCTCTCTACTTCCAGAATTAACATTAGGTTTCACCAAGCAGCCAATCTGATTGGCTGAGTCAACTTTAGAGTATTTTTGTTATCTGTTGCATTTGATGACTAACAAGTTACTCATGGATCCAGTTTGTAGTTAGATAACCTTGCTAACAAGGTGTTCATGGAAAAACCCACAATCCTACTGGCGTTGTCTTTTCTCTTTTTAATTATTATTTTTTTAATTCATGACATGTTTTCATGTTGCTTTCTCTCTCTGTGTAAAGTGTCTTTTGAGTATTTAGAAAAGTGCTATACAAAATAAAAATGTTTTATTATTATCACCACCAGTGCTGCTTGGACATTCCTACCACTACCGCTTTTATTTATTCTACTTTTTACTTTTATTTTTCTTTTCTTTTTTTGTCAGACATGAAGAAACTCTTGCAGCTTGTTGATCTAGAAACATAAAGTTAGCTCTTGTTTGACTTGTTCAGAAGATCAGGACCTGCCCACGCTTTATCACGCTGATAAAGGACACCTGGACGTGCTGTCTTTTAAACTAAGATCATCTGAGGAGAAGAATTCAGTTCAGTTTATTTATATATCGCCAAGTYACAACAACTGTTGTCTCAGGGCACTGTACACAAAAAATATAAAGAAGAGGCTTCAGAAGAGGTGACGGAGCCTTGTTGGTCAAACATTGTAATCAACATTTTTACAGGATCCAGTGATTTTGAATAAACTGTGATGGTAAACTTGAATTGGGGAGACTCCAAATGGTAATCAGCTGTTTTAAATTCTAAGTTGCAACTAAATCTGTTCAGTGGTTCATGAGATATTTTGTTAACAAACATGGTTGGCTCTAAAGGGTAAAGCCAGTGCACAGAGTWTGTGTTGAACATGAACTCCTCCATATTTGACCTTTACAGCGGGTAAAATAAGTATTGAACACGTCACCATTTTTCTCAGTAAATGTATTACTAGAGGAGCTAATGACATGAAATTTTCACCAGATGGTAACAACCCAAGTGATCCATACATACAAAGAAATCAAACCATAAATGTCCAGAAATAAAGTTATTTGTAATAATGTGGAATGGCACAGGGAAAAATTATTGAACACATGAAGAAAGGGAGGTTTAAAAAAGGCATTGAAAGCCAAGACACCAGCTGAACTCTCTC